TTTGTTGCTTCAGGAGGCAAAAACTTCCACATCTTCAAGGACGCAACCTATGGGCAGCAATGGAAACTTTGGCATTGCGTATAATTTTTTCATTTTTCAACACAACTATCCAATTTTTAAGGTGAAATACCAATAGTTAGACATGCCAGACTATAACCTTTAAGGCTGAAAGTTTAAAATAATTTCATTTCAAGAGCAAAGCAGAGGCAGTCACAAAGCAACCTGTCCTCCTACGGATGTCACCATCCTGGTCTGGGGGAAAATCCAGCCCTTCAGAAAAGACAACAGAAGCGTGTTCAGTATTAATGCAACTTCAGTCTGTTTATGATTCACCAGCAGAAAGGTGGCTGTTGAACTACCAACCATTTATCACTTGAAAACCAAAGCTGCACTAAATGTAACATTAACAGGCAAAAGGTTTCTGAGAGGGACCTGAGAAGTAAGACACCCCCCTCCAAGTGGTGTAGTATGAGCAGCTAATGCTGTAGACCGTGCTTGTCCCGCTGCCAGATCAGAGTTTAGTTTTGCATATGCGGTTGGTTCAACATTATTACTCTGTTGGTAGAATCCAGAGATCTCATCTTTAAATATGGGGTGTTAGCATATCTTGGAAAAATATGGTTTCATCTGATTTCTGACTTGCTTGTTTGAAATTCTCCATGGACAAGTTCGTCAGCAGTAAGCAATGCTTACTGCTGTCAGTTCTTGAAAACCCTTGAGCCAGCCAAAGCGATAGACTTTCCATTAGTAGAGAATTCAGCATTACTCTGCAGATAAACTGCCAGCATCTCAGTTGTATGTGGTCCTGGAGATTGGTTAAATTCTTTGCTGAGCCACAGGGATTAACACACGGCTAGCAGCTTGCCTGATGCTACACAGTCATGAAGGGTTAGCAACAGGCCAAAATTAAGGTGAAGTGATAACATCTCGGGCATGGAATCAGTCTTTAAGGACACAGTTAGACTCCTGATTTCCTCTGTCAGCTTAGTGATGGCAGAACTAGGCAAAGGAACAAAACAAAATGCCTGGGAGACAACACGGTGATTAGGAAATAGGGGAGATAAAAAAAATATTAACTGAGAAATTCGTCAAGATCCAACATTTCCCATGAAACCAATGTATCATTTAGGATGCCCTGAAACCTTGAATTCAAGGGTAGTAGAAACCCATGGGCTGCTTTGAGGATAGGCAGGACAAGGCAGCAGTCACTGAACATAAACATAAGAATGAAGAAAAATCAAAACTACACTGAGCCGACTGGTTTCACTACAGCATCTGGGTACAAGATTCGATGACCGTTTTGATACATACAACAGAGCATGGCATAAACACCCTGCTACCTCTGAGCTCCTTGCCCTCTCCTCCCTACTACAGCATCATCAAGTTTATTTCAGATGCAAACAAAGGCACAAAAAAAAAGTGCAGAGGGGATCACTGACATTTTGTTTCGTACTAGGAGCGTATTACCTTAGCCACTTTTCTCTGGAATATCCAATACAGATAGCATCAGTGAGGGCTTGAAGGAGGTCACCAGTAGAAGACATTCAATATCTGTAATGTCTTGATCTGGGATTTCATTTTTTTTCCCGCAGATGGCAAACTGAAGGGCTCCATAGGGAAGCACAAGCAGAACCACATCAAAGCAATAACACACATTACTGGAGAAAGGATCACAGGGCACGTAAAGAGCTAGGCTGAGAAGCACCAGCTGCAGGAACAGAGTAGAATTTACTGCATGTAATGTTAGACTACATGACTATCAGAGAGAGCTCCAGGTCTGCATAAACAGAGCTTTTGTCAGAAAAGCAAGCAGATTGTTTCCGTGCAGTCTGCAGGATCGGAAAGAAGTAAAGCACTGAGGTTGCTGAGATATGAAGCGAGGGTTAACTAAGGGTATAATTCTGTCTGTCACATTCAATTTAGAAATGTGAATACATAAGAGTTTGGGTGTCTTATTAATGGCCTTGGGACCAACAGTCTCAGTCTCTTCACAAATGTTTTGTCCAACAAAGGAGTTGGGTGCTTTACAGCAATGACATTCAATTCAATAGCCAAAGGAAATCTAGAAGCAGTCCTGGTCTGTGACGTTCCCTTTGACTTAAAGCTAAAAGCAATGAATAAGCTGATGA